ATCGATACTGATGCATTTGCACTTCACGATATTGACGAAGACAGATCTGGGACTGAAAGATGAAGTATCAAGATAACGGTTTAAATGCTGTGAATGACAATGTATAAGTATTTTAATGAGAATATCAAGAAACGCCTTTTGCTCATTTTGTTCATGTTCTGAAGTGAATTTTATAATGTTTTAAGGATTTTGGATGTAGTTGCTTTTAGCGAAGGTAGCAAAGCCATCTCAACGTTCATTTCTCTTGCCTTTTCTGCATTTTCCAATGAATACCTCCTTGTCGGTTTTTCTATCCTGACCTCTCAAGTCTCCTTGCATTCGTGTACGTAGTCTTTTTCTTCATTGTTCCTTCCAATTCCTCGTAGAATTGTTCGATTTTTTTCTCTAGAACTTGTTACGTTACTCCGTGGGCTTGGATGATTAATGCTGTTCTTCTTTTGGAAACAGAATTGCTGTACAACGTGGTATAATATTTCAGTTCAGCACACATGACAGAGTCTTCTGTTTTATTATGACCCGAACACAGCCGCTCCGAGCTCCTTCCCGAAGGCCTACTAAAGGAACATGCTGTCCCCGTCCTTCCATTATGCCATAGGCCCATTACGTAGATGTTCTAATCTCTCATATTACAATGACGTTCCCTTTGATCTTTCCATTTCTACGATACAGACATCAGTAAAGACGTCTGCCGATAACGATCTTGCATTTTAGCTGGCCATAAAGATCTTGATGATACTCCGGGTCTGTTAAGAGATGGAGTCCTGTTATTTATCGACTTGTAGATGTTATTCAGGCTGATGCAGTAGCCTGCACTTCCTTCGCGGCTTGGGTTTCACTTTGAGAGTATTATTAACCAGTAATTGTTTAGCATTTCGGAGTGCTAAACCTCATGAAATATTGTCAAGTTTTCCCAATCCTTCATGCAGCTCAAACAATGGAGAGAACCGGAACATGTTTTTAGATTTTGGTCGCGGAAGGCTGCCACTGGCGAGTTGCAAGGACCACCTCCGTCTTAACCTGATGAACATACTGAGGACGAAGCGGACTAAATTTGCCAAATTTGCAAATTACCGAAATATGCCCCAGTTTCATGAGACATGAGAAACGGGCGTACTGACTGCTCCTCGTCAAAGAGCATTCCGTAGTCCTCTAGCAGAACGACGGGACGATTTTCCATTTGGCCTACAAGGACCGCTGTGTCTACGAAAGCAGAAGCTAGGATGGAGTGGAGAAGCGTTGTGACCGGCACAATCCATCTGCCGAATACCGGTCTATCCAGCTGAC